TGACACCTAACAAAGATGACAAATATTTTTAAAAGTTTGACAAACTTATTAGCTGCTGTGATGGATTTTCTACCACTGCGTCTGTGTCCTGGTTTTGGCTAGAATAAAGTTAATTTTCTTTCTACTAGCTGGTATAGAGTGCTGCGGTTTGGATATAGGATGAGAGTAATGTTGATAGCACAGGGATGCTTTGGTTACTGCTGAGCAGTGCTTATACTAAGCCAAGGACCTTTCAGCTTCCCACCTGTGTGTAGGCTTGGGGGTACAAGAAGCTGGGAGTGGACACAGCCAAGACAGCTGACCCCAACTGGCCAAAGGTGTATCCCACACCGTATGACGTCATTGCCAGTATGTAAACTGGGGGAGTTGGCCAGGGGACACTACAGCTCAGAGGCTGGTTGGTCCCTGGTCGGCAGGCAGTGAGCAATTACATCGTGCATCACTTGTTCTGTAAACCCTGTTATTATTACTACTATTTTCCCTTCCTTTTCTGTCCTATCAAACTGTCTTTCGCTTAACCCATGAGTTTTATTTTTTTTCTGATTCAGTCCCCCATCCCACTGGGGTGTGGAGAGTGAGTGAGTGGTTGTGTGGTGCTTAATTGCTGGCTGGGGTTAAACCACAACAATGTGTTAAGGACTGGATATTATTATCAAAGTTATATACAATTACTGTTAGATACAAAAAAGTATCAATTCAAAGAATTTCTACCGTGCGAGACAAAATAATTATGGTCTCTCTTGGCCATATAATGCTATTACAGGTCTTCAAAGATGCTGCAATGGCTACGTCTTACAAAATGAGTTTTGAATTTTAGGGCTCAGACTGATGACCAATTACAAATCTGCATGCATTATTACCTGGAATTTATCAAGGCCTAAACTTTTACATGCAGAGAGTAACCATGAATCAGCTGCCATGACACAGCTGAGTGAACAGTTAGTAACTGGATTATCAATCTAATAATCTAGAGAGAACGATAACAGTTTTCTTGAGGGGATAATTGTGCATCATTATTATTAAGAACAAAATGCCACACATGGAGACCAAAAGTGAATAAGTAAAAGTTGTTGGTGCTTTTTTTTTTTTTTTTTTTAATATTATACATCCTTTGCCACCAAGTGGGATGAACTTAATATGAGCTGGCTCTTAGGTTGTCCTTTTTGCAGTACCCAGCTTTTTCCACCTGTTGACCTGCTTGGTCTTTCTAGGTCTAAATCTTTCAAAGACTTCTGTATGAAGTTAACTTCATGCATTGTCAGTATGTCTTCAGTCTGGTGGAGCTTTACCAGGACTGTTGCCTCTGATGGTAATGCCTTCCAGACATTCTGGCTATTTGCACAAAATCTTTGTAAATCTAACTACATGAATGTGAATGCTACATTATGTGAAAAGGAAAGAATGTCCAGACAACTCTCTGCCTTGCTCAGGTTGAATATGGACACAAAACCCCAGAGGTGTGGAAAGAACACCTGCGGGGAGCAGCATCCTGTGCCCCTACAGGCTCACACTCAGCATTCAGCACTGTTAAGACCTGTTCCAGCCTTCCCTAAGGATTTTATTTTTGCCTCAAAGACACAAAGGAAGACAACATGTATCTCAAATTCAACTTCGTATGCTAGCCCAAAATCATAACACTGAATTCAGATACTCTTCTCTGAGTAGATCACATACATACTCAATGAGGTTTTGCTCCTGATAGACACCATTAGAGACTTGCATTAAAGAGGTTACTGTTACTTCAGTGTCAAATTATGCACAGGGAGTAAAGGAGCATGGATTTTCCTTCTTTGCTATGCACTTTGCATGGAAAGAAGGATAAACGGGACATCCTTTACCAAGGGAGTACAGGAGCTGCTCTCTCCCTGCATTTGAGACACAAACTACAACAGCAGGAGGTGGAGTCTGCTTCTCTCTGTAGCTGGCTGCTTTCTGAGAGAGGGGAAACAATGCGCCGTCTTAAGAACTACTTTTCCTTTGTGTGATCTCAGAGGAAGGCTGCAGCCCTGCACATATGGGCAGAGCTCAACAAACCGCGGCAGTCTTGCTCTTACTGTGCCTCTGCCACACTTCATGTTCCTCCCCGCCCCCGAAAAGAATTAACAACAGAAAAGCACCAAGAAGTCGTTAGTTTAGGCACAGCAAAATGAAAAAACATAATTAGCCCTACACGCAGTATAATGAAAATGTGGCAACAAATCTCTGTTACAGAAGGCAGATGAAGAAAGGCTGATGTGCAGGACCAGATCAACTGCAGGCAACCTAAAGTAGTTGAGATTGGTGTTTTGACCAACTCTGGCTGCAAGAAGCATTAAGGGCACCCATGTGTTAGTGTAATGGGGGCTGAGCCAGCATTTCTTCTGAAAACATTCCCTGTATTTTAAAAGCCTGGTGATTGCAGCTGGCAGTCTGGGTTAAAGCCTCAGATACAGGTCTTGTCACAAGAGCTCACCCTCTGAACAAATGAACCCCCGCAATTACTGTGGGACTCGGAGGAGCATCTCTCTGACGTAGTACCAAGGAGGTGGATGTTGGCTTGGGCCTCTCCTCAGAGCCCGACGCTCTAACCTCTGTCTGAAGCCCTGATTTGGGGTGGAGGAAATACAGCGGTAAAAAGAAAAAGTAGCACAGAGACAGGGACTAATTTTTATACTTTCTACCCTCATCATTACAAACTTGCAAAAAATAATTCAAGTACATTACAGGCAAACTTCTGGGAACAGGCTCAGTCTATTCGCTCAGATTAGACTTCCCAAGAGGAATCCAGTTTAGTGATGAAGTCATGTACAATGGCTATGTGGAGGTAATGCAGATTTACACAGTGGCTGCCAATCTGCTCATCTGGAAACAAACCCAAACCATAAACATAATGCTCCCTCCTAGATAAGACATCCTCAAATATCCCAAAATTGCCAGCAAAGTTCCTAAGATCATGACAAGGACTACAAAAGTAGGATTTCTTATTTTGTGGCAATTAATATAACTGCTGCCATTGTCTTTTGTTTGCTTCCTGGATTTTTATACTTTCAAGTTTGCTCCGCATGCAACTTCTTTTTAAATCTTAAAGTGGAGATTTTTCAGGTAATCACTTCATTACAAGAGTGGAGGCCTCAAAAAAACAGCTCAATAGGACAAGTTAGAGTGGAGTAATGAAAGGCAATAACAGAAATGACTGAATTTGATAATGAAGTTGGACATTTCAAAGCATACAGTCAAAGAGCACCCAACCCCAATTTGATCAGTATTTAACTTATTTTTGAATAATTTTGAGTTGGTAGAAAGTAGAAATGGCAAGCAATTAATTCAAAATACACTCAAACAAACGAGTTACTTTATGCTGTAGAAACTGAGACTCTGCTTATGCCGAGTTGTTGAGTTTCTCTGGTCATAACTGACACTTCCTTTGTCTGCTAACTAATTTGCCCTTCAGAACTTGAACTAGTTTTTTTGTTCTGCAGTTAATGCAACAATGTGGAAGCTACTTACAATTACACGGCAGAACTAACCCGTAAGCTGCTATTTTGCATGGGATCTTTTCTCTGCAGTTTATGTTCTTGGTACCATGAAGCATGGTGTTGTGAACAAAGAAAAATGAGAATGAAGAGACAAAGAATATACAGTTCTGAAGGAAAACAGGGAGTAAGAATGTTAGGAAACTTAAGTTCTAAAGAAAGAAGCTAAAAGGAAAACAGTGCATGGAAAGCAAACTTCAGATTCAGAAGTAAAATACAGATACTTACCTTTACATAATAGTCTACACTTTATAAAAGAATGGTACTTTTTTTTTCCAGAATGTCATATTTAAATATGAGTTTTTAGAAAAATGAGTTAATTATTTTAATATATAGACCATTTATTTTAATATATAACAGAGCAGCTATAAGACTATGAAGACAACAGCTGTAATACACAAATCAGTGTAGTGATCCATAGGCTAAAAATGTGATATTTTTCTATTTTATAAATTTGATTTTATTTCTGTTATTGAATTATCAAAACTGAAGTATCAATTATTTGTTCTGGGGCCTAGACCAGTGGTATAGACAGTATTTGAAACCGTTTGACTGAAAGATCAGTGAAGACAAAATAAGCCAGCTACTTTTCAATGCAACATTTAATTCCTATATGTCTTTTACTATCAATTTTGCTGAGTCAATAGAGGCAAAACATACTTCTTAAGAAGGGAAATATGCACAGTTGCTGACTTTACTGACCAATAACTGCTTTTTCTATGCTTAGGTATAGTAAATAACCATAGTGTTGAAACAGGATGTTTACGTTCAACATAATCTCAGAAACTACATAACCTAGTAGTTGAATATATAAATATCCATGGAAATACACATATTCCTACTTACCCAACGGACAGGAAAGGCTCCTTTGATTCAAGTCTGTCAAGTGAATAACAGAAATTTCAAATACATAAATATATATTATTTATTGTATTTCAGAACATTTATATGATAAATTTAAACTAGCCACACTCACTATCAAACTTACTTGTTGACCAATACACAATTTAACAACAATAGTAGGCCTTATGCATTATGCTAGGAGCTTAACACAGAAAAAATCCCATTTACCTGAACCAAAGTTCAGTTAGAAATCAAATATTTACAAAGCAGCATATCTAGGCCCTTTAAATTTCACAGATTCAGATATCTTGTGCAGGTATTTACATGGAAAGTCTAGAGTGAACAAGTAATACTTTGTCCTTTTTTTTGCATTTTTCATGTGAAATTTTTTTTCTTGGTGGCTATGATTTAGAGAAGATATTAAATATATATTTTTTAATTAACTTTAAACATAGAAAAGTTCTTACACCCATACTAAATTCTGATTACACCCTTTTTTTTTTGCTAACATCCTCTATTCTTATGACATGGTCACTGCTTCATCGTGAGAACTTCTTGCACATCTGTCACCATCAGCCTTGTGCTGGAGCTGGATGCCACTGGTTTGGTAGACCCAGAATCATGCTCACTTCTAAAACCGGTTGTTAAAAGCATGTTGTTCTCTAACTCCCTGCTGTTGCTGCTGCCTCTTGTGAGGAGCTGCACCATTTGCACACTGGCAGGAGCCTCTTCTACTAGTAGTTTCCACCCAACTAGGATAGATTAGAAAATCCGTCTACATTACTGTACTGTATTTCTGCTTCAGTACCTGCAACAGGCTGCCCTTAATTTTGTAGGGTGCCCTAGCTGCAATGAGCTTACTAATATCAGCTGCTTGTTAGGACCATTAGCATGCGATTTTAGCATCCTTAAACATATTTAAAGCAAATTTGCAACTCAGTTATTTGGAGAGGTTACATGACACGCAGATGATGCAGAAGTTCTCTGCTATGCTAATTTTTACTGAGAGCACAGCTAGGAAGAACAGCAAACAAACCCCCCACATACTTAATGTCTGTTTGTAGCCTTTAATAAAAGTGCTTCTAACAAAGCAAAGTGTGTCATATGTGGAACTGAACATTCCATTTGTGATGACCCCTCCCATCTGAAACCAATTCAGTCCCACAACAAAATATCTGAGATAGCACTGTGAACAGGACTAACTGTAAACAAAAGTACTGTAAATAATTTGCCAGTGTTTTAAGAATGAACTTGCCTGCAACTCTTTTTTGTAGAAAAAACAACAAGTACATTTGCAGTTATTCATTTAGCAAAGGTTTTGTACAAAAAACTCACAAATCGATAGACCAGTCTAGTTACTGCCATCTATCTGGAAGGGTATTTACAAAAGGTGAACTTGTCACTGTGCTTTTGAAAGGATCGTATGATTCTGCCTTTAATTGAAAAATACTGCATGTCATCTTTTTGCAAAGCATTTACTACTTCTCCAGAATCACTAGTGGAAATACCTTAGGAGCCTGTCTTCTGATGCACTTTAAACCTAATTTCCTGGGGTTAGATCTCCAGCAGTGGTAAGGACAACTTGCAGAAGGCTTGAGGAAAGGTCAAAATGTATCCAAAACAGAATAACTGCTCTGTTGTCCTCATGGCTGTACCTTACCTTTCCATTTCTTTCTGGGGTTGTGATCCACGTGGAAGCAAAAGACTAGAAGAGGGGATCACTGATAGCCTTGTGTGTACCTGGAAGCACAGTGGAAGCCCAAAGCTGGGTATCCCCACACTCAGAGTGACACTTCTCCAGGGCAGAACCAGTGCTGTCAGAAATGCTTTTGCCCCAGACTGCCATGCTGCACACCAAAACCCTCATAGCACCAAGAAAATGCTTAGCTTGGTGCCCTCTGTGCTTAGGCAGTACTGCCAGAGAGCAATAAAGTGACAGGGCTCTTTGCGTGTGGAGTTGCACCCTTCTCATGAAGGCTCTGTGCAGCCACCATGCCAGGTTCACGGACCAGCTCTTCCTGCTGTGGATCACACCGTTACAGGAGAACACCTGCACCACCTTTGCGGCTTTTCTCTGGTGTACGAGGAAAAGCACAACTAGTGTTATGGTTTTGTTTCCTGGTTTTCTGCTTAAAGAAATGAACCAGACATGGGAAGTACCCAGTGTTTGGCTCAAGAGATTAACTATAAGCAAAACGAGCAAAGAATGAAAGCCTCAGAACATATTTACATACTTCATAATACAGAAATTTTGTAATGAAGAGAGACCTGGCACTATCCTGATGGAGGACATTCAGGTGGATAATACTTGCAAACGAAAAGTGTGTGGTAGCACGCCCTGTGAACAAAATACTGCAATCAAAAATCTATTTGAAATCCATTCTCAAAATGGAATTCAATTTGATTTAAATAGTGCTGCCCTAGGTTTGACCCCTCTCTAGTATATTTGACTAAATGGTTTTAGATAATTTGCTGCATTACTTTAAATTAGTTCAAGTATTCCTCATAGTAAAGGAATGCAATTATTTGTTGGCCTTTTATTTAAATTAGTAATTCAGTATATGGCAAATTAATATAAAGGTTTTAAAACTGCAATACCATATAAAATAATATCCTATATCGCCTTTACTGGTGACATTTATCAATATATATTACAGATTTTTTTACCTTTCTTTTCTAGCCTGCAGTATGCAAAATTCTCTAGAGTTTTGGGGAAGTCTTGCATAATTAAATGATATCTCAAGAAGAGTAATCCCAATAAGTTGTGAGAAGGGCTGTCATACACCTTCAGGAAAAATGTTAAAACAAATTCTTTCTTGCAAAAATGTATTGAGCATGCAAGAAATATGACACTAGATGGTAAACAAAGGGAATATGTTTTAATTATGTAGAAATGGTAATGAAGCTGGAGTGAACAGGATTTTTCTTTCTTTCCCAAAATGGTTTTCCCATAGGAAAATTTCAGTTTGTCAAAATGTCATGGCAATATATCAGTCTGACTAGGAGGGAGGCAAGGTAATGGGTAGCATGGCTGGGATGTGGCAGGCTGAAGTTGTGTTTCCCTTGAATTCTGAGCTAAGATCTTCTGAAAGGTCTGACTTATCTACATCTAATGGATAAGTCTTTACAGGAGGAAAAAGGATTTTTATACTACGTAAATTGCTCAGTTAGAATCAGTCACTGTAAACCAAACAGGCATAGGCAATCAATTTATACCCATTGATATGCTACAACACTGTCACACTCTGTGTTTAAAATAAGGACCCTAGAAATTTCTCATTTAGTATTTTACCCCTCGCAACCTGTCATCTCAAGACATTTTACAAGATCTGATTAACATAATTGTGTATTTCATTATTTTCTTTGCTGTTAAGTTTGCTTATATTAATGCCAGCTATCTAAATCCACCTTTGACATGGACTGAACATGTAGATGGATGAATTTTTCAAGGTTTGCAGACAAACATACAAGGAAATGTGACTAAGGGCACGTGAATTCCTTCTTGACCTCTAATCAAATTATTTAAGGACAGGAAGATCCCAAAGTAAACTCCATGTTCCTTGCATAATTGTCCTGTTAAGATTACAGGCAAGATGGCTTTTTATATTTGAGTCCTGACCCAAGATACATAAAATCAATATAATTTCTTGTTAAGAATCCTCACCTCTCCTTCCCAAAACCTATTTACAGGACAAAGTCGGTAACATTCCTAACAATATCAGTGTTGTACACAAACAAAGGGATTTTAGCCATGCATTCTCCAAGGTAACTCATTATGAATAAATACATTCTTCCTTGTGGTGATCATATTAATTTCAACTCTAAGGAGTTAGTAAGGAAAACACATGGAATTTAAAGCACTTGTTAGAGTTCTTATTCTGACTTTTTAGTATAATAAAACTGTCTACCCTGAATCAGGGGAAGTGATGGTCAGGAACCAAAATATTCTTAGACAAGTCATCATTTTGGGTTACAATCTTCAAATTGGAATTCCCAAGGGGGATAATCTGACTGTGTTGCTGATATCACAGATCTTCTGTTTGACTGTAAAACACATGAATAATGACTGCAGTTTTCAAGGGGACTGGAAAAGTTAATACTTCCAAGCAGAATCCAGAGGATTCAGGCTTCTCATTCAAGCTGTGTAGGAAAACCAGGCCAACTAAAAAGCATTTTGGACTTCAGCGGCTTGACGAAGTGGCTGTATAGCATTAATGTGTATTTTGTATGATTGATGTGGCTAACTTATTTACCTGTCAAGCATGTCTCTCTCTTTGTGCTGTACAGCTTTAGGAATCAAAGATTTAGCAAAAATACATGAAGTGAAAGAATATTCAGATTTATGGCTCACCCCATTTGCCAATGAATTTAATTTTAAAATGATAACCAAGGACAACTCAAGGGACCTTTCAGAAGAAACTAAGGTAGTTTGCCATTCACATTAATCAGCCAGGCTTGCATTTTTCTCTGCATGTTGACTTCATGGTTTCAAGTCAACAGTCATTAGTGATCAGAAAACATTTTCCTTCAGAAATTTTTAAGCAGTATTGCTAACATTTTGTCCTCTAATTCCTTTCCTTTTTAAAACATGCACATTATAACTTTCGGTAACTCCCAATATTTGTATACAATGCAAGCAGGCCTGATAAAAACATGTCTTAATTTACAGAAGAAATATTGTTTCATGTAACTTCCACTACCTATTGAGACTGAAATAGCCATTGCTGGTGTACACTAGGTAATCCATCCTTCCCATTTATAATGGTTTCTGTGACGTAAAGTAGTTTCAATCCAGGGTCATTTTTCTGGACATCAATAACTGTTGTCAGATAAATTAGGGAAGAAGCTCATTCTGTCTTCTGAAACTTCCATAAATGTCATTATAAATCTTGGCAAGTTTTATTAAGAAGCACTGTCATATTCTGGAATAACTAAATGTTAGACCAACTAGAAGATCTGTATAGAACTATACCTGTATAGAAGATCTAATCTGTCATCAGTGTTTCAGAAGCAGGGGGTATGGAGAAATAATTTACAGCT